AGATCATTGAAACATAGCGAAATACTTTTGCGAAACAAACTAAACGTATTGAAGCGTTGGAGAGGCAATTTCAGCCCTTTATACATAAACTACCTCGTTGAAAATGTTATAAAACAATTGATTTACGTGTCACCTGTGCGTTCATCGAGACTTCAAGCACTTGGGAGGTTTGGAGAGCACTCAAAAAGCCAGAGTTTCTCTCAGCTGCGCCTCGACCAACTCTAAAAAGCATCTTTAATTCGTGATCTCCAAACTTCCCGCGTGCTCAAGTCTCGATGAAAGCACGCTAACGCATGAACCACTTGTTAATAGTGATTCTGTACAAGACACCAAATCGTACTTTAAAAGTATATTGAACCCAATAAAAACCAGCCAGGTTATTTAACGGACGAGCTAAGCTTATATATCTAACTTTACTATTTAGGTGAGATACAATGAAATATATGAAGTTCATATACAAACATCATATACGTACATCATATGTATTTACTATTTAGGTTGCCTCTGTCAGAATCCTTATCCAATTCGGTGTTGTTGACGAACACTTTTGATTTTTTCACCGAGGTGTGCGTCTCAGCATCATAATTTGTTGTTAAATAGGCCTTCACAGTTTTGCCAGTATTTTCGTAGTTTGAGCTCACCTATGGCTCATTTGTTATCTCGTGAGAACRAGTATGAACTTTCCACATTTGGCTCAAATTTCGCGGGCTGGCCCATTCCGAAAACACTCATCATCATTTAGCGTGGGCCTACCACATACGGCGTGTGCGCTTGCCTGTGGGATGAGCTTATAAGACAGGAATCTTTGCAAAGCAGTCTCCACAAAACATAGCATTCTGTAAGTTACGTTGTTTATAAAGAGCGAGCTCACGATAACATAAGATGTCGCACTCTCATCCCAGTTTCCGCGGTTTACACAAGGAACGCCTGGGACCATGACCCCCTTTTGGCGACCAATTAAAACGGCTTGCATTTTTAGACTCGGGCTTTCCTACGGAAGCCCGAGTAATAATCTTTCGCTTTTACTCGAGACGTGAGCTTCAGACACCTGCGACTCGATTTCCGTGGTGTCGATAAATTTAGGTGCGGCGAACACCATGGCCGTATTAGAAAATGTTAAACCTCTGTTTCTCATCATTTTTGCAACAGTAAAGGCTCAAGGTAAGGGTGAATGTGTATCAAGAACCATAGAATAATATTGTGGTAGCTACGAAGGAACTTTGCTTGTCATGCGAGGGCTTCCAAAAGAAATCTCATTTTGCAAATGAGACTTGAGCGGAAAGCGACGTAAACATGTCAGTTTACTGAGAATGTGTTCGTGAAGTTAAATTAGTGCATACGGGGCTCATCCTCCGTGTAAAAACCTCTGAAGCTCACGTGTGACATAAAACAAAGAGAACAAAACATTTGAAACAGCGTTCAGCAAAACAATACCTCGTGAAACAAAGAAAACCTCGTCAGGTTTTTACACCGAGGATAACCCGCATTCACCTTACCGTCGGTTGAAACCTTTGAAGAGAACCGAAGCTTTCACATAGATGATTTGCGATCTCATATTAAGCATTGTTTTCGATTTTTCTTTNTGGTTTCATGCTAAGTGTATCAGTATGAAGAGAACGGAATATGATGAACTTTGCGAACCTTCTGTGGCTTGGGAATGCATAACTTGTTTATCACCTGGCTTTGATACACCTGTCCGCAAGTCACATGAGACAATTAACACAGGTGTAAAAGAAGGAAAGCCCAGTGGAAGGATAAATAAAGATCTTCATGCAAATCTTATGAAGAGAGGAATGAAATTTGCTCATATAAACATTGCAAACTTGCCGGGACACTGTGCCGACGCCGAAGTACTAGTGGAGAAAGAAGCATTTGATGTGTTTGCGGTGACAGAATCGCGTCTGGATTGTACATTGCTCGATAGTAAGATATGTCCCTCGAGTTATACTTGCTACAGAAAAGATAGAAGTCGAAATAGTGGTGCTCTCGCCGTTTTTGTAAGGAGCAAATGGCGAAGCAAGCGGAGAAGTGACTTAGAATCTGACTTTTTAGAGATGGTATGCGTAGATATATGTCCAGAAAAAGCTAAGAACACGATATTTGCTGTGATGTATAAACCACCGAGTATGAATCAAGAGAGATTTATCTTAGGCCTGGAACAAGTAGTAAAGAAAGCCGGATTTTGCAAAGCTCACGTGGAAATCCGCGACGTAAGATCTTTTAAACACTACAATAAAAATCATTTCCGGAGAGACATTGCTAGCGTTCCCTGAAGTGTTATAGCGTCTTTTCACGATATTAATGATGCTGTAGTCACCTGGAATAATCTTTTTGTTGATGTTCCAAACCAGCATGCTCCTTTAAAGAGAATTAGAACAAAACATGCGTCTAAACCTTGGATCACTAATAATCTTAAAGAACTGATGGCTGAAAGGGACCATGCATTAAGAGTAGCGAAGAGATATGGCAATCAGGAACAGTGGAATGAGTATCGTAGATTGAAAAACTTTACGAACAGAAAGGTAAAATCAGCGGAGGCATTGCACTACAAAAATCTAATTGAGTCAGCTGAGAATCCTAAGGACATGTGGCGCTCGCTTAGCTCCGTGATTGGTTCCAATAACCAGTGGGGCTCTCCTTTTCAAGTACATGACGGGAAACGTTTAGTATCGGAGCCAAAAAGCGTAGCAACAAAATTCAACAAGTTTTTCGCTGCCATTGGCAGCAAAGTTGCTGGTCGATTGCGC